GCCGGATATGTACAGCGTAGGGCACTGAAGAACGATGCTGTTCCTACTTTGTTTGGACCAGCGGGAGATTCGGGTACACAACCTGTAAGTATTCATTGTTGTTTGTGTATTTATGATGTTTAAAACAAACAAGGTATCTACCACGACTGTTTAAATGGCTAAACGTTTTATCGGACTGCTAAGTTGGGATCGTGGAGAAATGCTCTCTCCGCAGACCCATGCTCACAGCTTTATAAACCTTTTTCTTACTCGATATCAAGCCACACTTATTGTTTTTACTTCAGCTGTGAGTGTTTGTGTGTGCTCAGGATGAGTTTCGCTTGTTCTCCTGTATCTCCGAGACGCAAAGCCTGNGTCCCGCTGGTCCAAACAAACAAGGTATCTACCACGACTGTTTAAATGGGGCGGAGAGCATTTCTCCGCGATCCCAACGTAGTAGTCCGAAAAACGTTTACCCATTTAAACAGTCGTGGTAGATACCTTGTTTGTTTGGACCAGCGGGACATTTGGGTACACAACCTGTAAGTATTCATTGTTGTTTGTGTATTTATGATGTTTAAAACAAAGTAGGAACAGCATCGTTCTTCAGTGCCCTACGCTGTACATATCCGGCATGAGTCGCTGAAAGGTTTGGGAAGCTTTGTTTCGTGAAAGGCCATAGCTCTGGGCGTGGCTACTGGGTATCCCTAGTACGTAGCGATACCCAGGAAGTAAACATTGGAAAATGAGAAATCTCCAACGAGGCGTTTTGGGGAGGTCTTTTCTGTGTTAGAGTTTTACTCGCTACAGGGTGTACTTTAAGGGGTTTTGACTCTGCAGACCGTTTACATGCATAAAAACCTTCATAACACACAAGGGGACGGGTGATAACCGGAAAAGCATGACATGGGAACTTTAAAGCATGGAAACAAATCTTAAAGAAGACCTTTTCTGCTCATTTTCAGGATCATGTTTTTATTTTGTGCCTCTACTGTGACATATGTGGCATACACAGATATGTGAGAAGTGTACATTAACTGTAGGGAGAAAGAAGGAAGGAGAGAGGAGACATTGATAGACAGAACAAACCAGTAGGAACTATCAGTACACTTTAGCAGACAGCATTTTCTTCAGAAAGCCAGACAGGTTTGCTTTAGACTCCCAGAGTAAATGAGCAGCTTCTGCATGAGTTGCTGAAACTCAGGATCAGATTTTCAATGTGTAGCGCACGCTCCCTGAAAACATACTGCAGGCTCGGCAGAAGGTGCTTCAGATGGTGCTGGCGAGAGTGGCTTTATGAAATTCCACAATATGACGGCAACAAAAGGCTCGCAAGTGGGGATTTTCAGGCAGCAAAAACATTCTGTGGCTTTCTGTACTCTGCTTTCTGATTGAAGCATCTAATTTCCACCTGCATTGATAGATTCTTCAACCTTCACGTTTTCCTGGGGTCAAATTTGACTTAATGTTTTAATACCAGAAATATCTAATTGCAACAATAATCACATGGATGATTCAATGCTACTTTCTTGTAATGGAATGGCTTGCTGTTGTTTTATTCAAATGTAAAGCATATGTGGTTTATATTATTTAGACTTTTTTTTTTTCAGCACTTTAGTTCTATTGACCATTGATTTAAAAAAAAAAAAAAGGAATATATTTGTAGTTACATTTTGGATTGAAGTTGGTTAAGAAGGCTTACCACAGAACTGGGTCATCATTTTTATACTATATTAATCCTAAACTGTAAAAATGTGCATGGTCAACGGGAAGACAACACGAGTTAAAGCACTACATAACACGTTTCTCTGGATTTAGCATAAGAAGAGCTTGGCAATATGATTAAAATGGATGGTCTCTGATAAATGTTTCATTAAACAATGATACTTTGATAAAAGGGTCTTTCTAGCGGGAGTGTCCGTCTTTGAAAGATTTCAAAAAAGTGCACAACAAAAGCATGAAGTGTGTCAGCAACTCAACTATACTGTATAATGAAATATTGAGCATCGTAATTAAATAATCATGAAGGCGCAGCGGCTGTGCTGGAGTGGAAGTATAGAAAGAAACACGAGAAGCATGGCAGCCAAACAAACATGTGCAGGAAAAGCAAACTGTCTTTTCAAGAAACCTACAACTAAGCACACACTCCTCACTCTGACACACCTGTACTTCATGCCCGTGTGTTTCCCCGTGGACTCCTTGAGAGAGATGTGGCGGGGGGCGAAGGATCCGAAGCTGCGGGCGATGATGGCCACGGTGCGGAACTTGGCCCGGGCTTGGTTCACCACGTTGGGGCTGGTGGCGCTCTGCTTGCCGTGGTCTCCTCCATTCCCCCTCTTCAGGTTGTGGTCCGTGCAGGCGATGGACACCTGCATGGCTGAGCTTTAGTCGTGTGGGGGGGCCGGGGGGGGGGGGGGGAGCAGAGCCCGAGACGAAGGAAGTACAAATGGGACCACGGAGGAGGGGAGATGAAGTCTGGTGGTGGAGGTCTTCGTGTAAAAAGGTAAAGTATTAATGGCACAGGAGAGGAGACAAAGTCAGGTGGTGGAGGTCTTTGAGTGAAAGGAAGGAAAAGTGAAAATGACACAGAAGGAAAGAAGGCAAAGTCTGGTGGTGGAGGTCTTTGTTTTTAAATGTCTTGATTCAGCGTCTCGTCCTCTTCAAAGTCAGTGTTAAGGTTCGGCAGTTTGCAGTTATTTCTTGAAGATCGATTAACTCTTTAGTTCCTCGCTTCCAGAAGCAGTCCCTCCATTTGCATCACTTTGTTCTAAAGCTGCAAAATATTTCTTTGTCCTCTCATTTAAAGACTTTCCTTTGTAGAGGAGATGAAGGCAGGGGAACAGATCAACCATCAAAAGCATGAGAAGAACAAAAGACTCCTCTGTTCTTTGAGGGATCCCCCAATTTATTTCCCTTTCGCGGCTCCTGTGTCCTGTTCGCTGATGCAGAGCTCGGGGGATTTTTTTCTCAGCTGCAGAATCACAAACGGAGCAGCTGGGGAGAGCAGAGGGATGCAGTGAGAGAGAGAGAGAGGGAGGGAGGGAGGGAGATAGAGAGAGAGATGGAGAGAGAGAGAGAGGGAGCGAGAGAAAGATGCAACCCAGGCTCTCCCTGCATGCTCTGTGGGAGGAGAGGGAGGAGAGGATAGCGAACGAGAGAGAGGGGGGAGTGAGGGAGGAGGAGACAGGGTCAGAAAAGGGATAAGGAGACAAGGCAGAGAGGAAGCAATGAGAGGAGTCACGCACCTGCAATCAGCACTTTTTCGGCGTCTTGTCACTTCATCTCCTCTCCTCTTCTTCAGTTTCTTCCTCTTCTGTCTGCTGTATAAGCCAACCCGGTATCACGGCAAGACGTGAACATGTGACGATTTACCATGCTGGGAGACGTGAAGATGACACGATTTCGTCCCTTCAAACGTGACAGTTACACGGTATTGTTAACATGGCCCAAATACCCGGAAATGCCAAGCACGAAATACTTTAATGTAAATTTAAATGTGAAGGAATGTGTGTATAACAAAATACATTGGTTATAAAAAATACCGGAAACTGACGTGGGCAAGATCCTCAGCTCGGTGATTCGATGGTTTAGCCGCAATGCACGTTGGGAAATGGTGTTTATGTGATGTGAAATCCGAAAACATTTTTAAAATAAAATAATACTTTATTCCGAGTGTGCTTGCTTTTCTCTTTGGAGGTCGTCACATAACGGCATTGTAATACACGGTTCGGCTGCATTAAATATTACAGATCTGCCGTAGTTCTCTATTTATAGAGCCCTGATGAGAAGACTTCTTGACAAACAGGAAGAACTGCCGCCAAAACTGAAAACGTGACGTGGATCATAAATATATCAGCAATTAAACAACATCTTAGATTTATTTTCGTACAATACGTCTCCTCACAGTATCAACACTAATTCGGCTGACTTTTATATTTGATCCAATTGGTAGATAGACTGTATTTACACCATAAAGGTGCACAGCTGATAGAAAGGGACACCTGGTGGTTAAAGCATGTTATTGAATTGTATTATTTGTATTATTAGATATTACAAAACTAAGGCAGTGACATTATTAAACAAAAAAACATAGTAATTAAAACTTGAATATTCTTTGAGATTATGTATTTTCTCAACACGTTTAATTAAATGTCTTGCATGGTCCTGTATCTTTCTGCTAAAGGTTCCTTTGCATTTGATGGTATTTTAATACGAATAAATCCTTTTCACACTGAAAAAACCCCAAAAATCTGGCTTTTCTGTTCAGTATAGAAAGGTTAGAACATTCCCAGTGTCTTGCTGTGTGTATATATAATAAATACAATTACCGGGAATTGGTCAATTTGCATTATCTTTTATCGTAAAAAACATAGTTACAAAAGGTTTTATTGATAGCAGATGTATTATTTAATATAAAATGTTTAATCACCAAACGTCAACAGCTGTGTGCATCACTTTAAAGAGTCCCCTGTCCACCATATATTTAAATTAAAGAAGAAACCATAAAAACGTTTTTAGATTTGTGTGAATCTCAGATTATGTCCTGCAGAAAATCAGAAGTAATGTGTAATCTGCTGAGGCTAAAAATCAGCTGAGATATAAATGACGGACGGACTTCCATAACGTCTGTCAAGTGTTTTAAAAAGGAGCCTTCGAGGAATTAAGTGCAGAGGAAGGATGAGAGGAGCTCAAAAGGAAATTTCCCTCACAATATTATCAGAGCGATAAGAGCGGCGGTGGCTGCCTTTTTAAAAAGAGGCCGCCGCTCTTAATTCTCATTTGATCTGCTCTGAATATATGTGTGTTTCTCTCTGCCTGCACGTCTTTCTGTGGAGGATTCTGTTAAATTATACAGCGGCTGATAAAGCCACTGTGCAGCTCTGAGGCGATGGACTGCAGGGAGGAGGGTTTTTTAACTTGACTTTGAAGAGCAGCTGAAAGATTGGGTTAATCCACTTTTACATCCTGGCTCCTCTTCCTCCTGCTCCCTCACAGAAGCTCTCTCTGTCACCAACATGTCACCGTCTGATTCAAGAGAGGAATTACTGAGGATTTCTGTGTCTGCATAAAAAGAAATCACCTTAAAATGCCATTCAGTGCTTTGTGTAACCCCGAGTTCTCACCGTTGTCAATGAATTTGCTTTTGGTGTATAATAGTGTGTGTGTGTATGTGTGGCCTAGCATTACCATCCTTGTGGGGACATAAATCTGTTTGCACAGTCACGTGTGGGGACTCGCCTCCCTTATGGGGACATAATGGATCATACATTTTAGGGTGAAGACTTGGTTAGGTTTAGTTAGGGTAAGGTTAAGGTTAGGGGTTAGGGTTAGGGTAAGGCATGTGTTGGTTATGGTTAAGGTTAGGATAAGTCTCCAGGAAATGCATGTAAGTCAATGTAATGTCCCCTGAAGTGATGTAAACATGGTATGTGTGTGTGTGTGTATGTGTGTATGTGTACGTGTACGTGTACGTGTGTGTGTGTGTGTGTGTGTGTGTGCCTGTGTGTGCGTGTGTGT